ATTTTGCCTTGTGGGAGGAAACCGGAGCAAAATATAAAATTCAATTACCTTGAAAACACAGGTCTAAGTTGCAATCCCTAAAATTTAGAATTTTCTCTTAAATCGCCTTAAATCGCCTAAAATCGCATTAAATCGCAGTGCTTGAAATTCCCAGTTTTTTCTTAAATCGCCTAAAATCGCCCAAAATCGCATTATATCGCAGCGATTTAAGGCGATTTACCGCCCCAGAGTAGGCCTCGTATTGCAAGAGAGAGTCCACTTGTTCAGGTCGTTGAATCAGCCTGATTAAGTCAAACAGCTTCTGGAACTGTTAGTTTGTTTCTTTGTTTCATCGAATGAACATTAGTTGTTTCATCGTGTAGGCAGTAGTTTGTTTTGATATATAGCCATATGTTGCTTGTAAAACTGAGAAAAATGTGGATGCGTAACACGGGTGATTCACTTTAATTAAATTGCCTGATTTTCAATATTCGACTTTTTTTGTGTAAATCGAAATGCGGGATATTTTGTATTGAAGTTGGCTATAATGATAATGATAATAAGGGGAAGGGAAATTGAACGGGAAAGGGAATGGAGAAGGCAAAGGAAAAGAGCAGCGGGTTTATGATCACTTTTACTTGAAGCCGGTATAAGCTGCATTGTAAAAACACAGATGAACGATCGACAACCTATGGTTCATATACAAGCTCTGATGTGTGGGTCTGGAATACTTAAATCTGTAAGACGCTAGTGCCTGGGTCTAAAGGCTCAAACAGACCGAACGCGATTTGGCAACGCGACGCGAATTTTCAATTTTCAATGACATTTAACTTTACGATTTTTCTATGTTTTTCAAATATTCGAAACTACTTAAGCAATTTTAGCTATTTGGTCTGCATATCTTGTAAAATTTTTATCCGTTGACGGTTTATTTGTTTTCAAAAACTGAAAATTCGCGTCGCGGTGTTGAATCGCGTTCGGTCTGTATGGGCCTTAATTCAACGCTTTCTGACCCCAAGGAAAGTTCAGAAATAAAAAAAACGGAACAAGCTAAAGCTCACTTCATTAAAACAGTTAATTTTCACTGAGAGATTTCTAAGGCCAGGTTACTACAATCAGTTTCAAAAGTCTTGGGACAGATGCCACAAAACCTTTGAATTTCAACAAAACGTCAATCCTCCCCGCCCCCTGTTCAATGTTGTGTCCCATTTCTCGTCAGGTTTGATGTGTTTTGGTTGGAGCAACATTGATTGGGGTGAGGGGAGGGGGAGGGGAGCGGTATTGTGTGTATAAAACTGTAATGATCCACTTACAGTCTAAAACTACATGTGTCCCAACAACTTCTGAAAGTGATTGTCTGGGCCCCATATGCCATAACACCATTGTATATCTCAAAAGTACAGGGGATAGAAT